TATATATATATATATATATATATATATATATATATATATATATATATATATATATATATATATATATATATATATATATATATATATATATATATACATATATATATAATCTTTTTATAACAAAATTAATAGCCAGCATGGCATCATGTATTATAATACGAAACATGAGATTACATATGCAACATCTTATCTCTTACGAACATATGTATCTTGAAGATACATATGTTGTCAATATAAGCGAGCTCTTCTTCCAGTGAAGTGAATACTGCAAAGCGTTTGCGCGCATGCACATCCAATGTGTGACGATCAGTAATTTTATACAGTTTTACAATTGTGACAAATATAATCAGACCTGTGTCTAGTGACTAATACAAAAACTGAATCTCAAGCTGAACATTATATCCACGACTAGATATTAAGGCGCATATACATATCTTTACCTAAAAAATTAGTATATATTTTCTATTAATTCGCGACTGATCGAGAAAATGTCGATCACAACGCGATTTGCTGGGACCGTTCCGCGAGAATGCGAAGGTGACGTGGATTATTAATAGATAATCAGGATCAGGAAAAACACGTAGAATAAAAACGAACGATGAAAGGAGTTTTACTGGAAAGAAACTGTTAATTTGAAGGCAAGAAAATGATGTGACTCGTCCGTCAACTTCATAGTTTTATTGGAAATATATTTCAAACATATAAAACGTTTTGATAAAATAATTCAATGCTTCAAGATTATTAAAAAAAGAGCTTTTTTAAATTAGCTTGCATGTTTGTATAAATGTACGTTTGCGATTATCTCGAGAACAATTGCATCGATCTTTAAAATTTTCAGCAAATCTAGATATTTAAAAAATGTATTTCCTCTTTGATATTAATAACACTCAACTTTAAGACATACTCGGCATACATTTTATCATTTAAAAATATGTCCGCCATTAGTTTACAGTGGCTCAAAAATAAGATGTATACCGTCCTTGACTGAAAGCAAGAATGATGATTTATCCATACTTAGAGGTATCGGAGTTTGGGGATGCAGTTTAAACTTGAACTTCGACAGTATATTTATAATTCCGACCTTTGTTTGTACATAACCAAATCTTGCACCTAAAAATTAATAAGATCCATATATTAATAGAGTTCAGATTCATAGAAAATATATTCCAAGTCGTAGGTAAAAGAAGCAGACTATATAACACGACAATAATAAACTACCAAATGTCATTATAAATCTCTCCGTACATTTAAAATTAATACCATAATTAAACTAAATGTTAAAAATATCAAAAGATTAATGTCATTCTGAAAAAACTGCTCTCTTAAAGTCAATCAATGAATAGTTACTGATATAAATTATGAATACAGCACTGAGCACTTTTAGTGCTATATTTATAACTGTAATCAGCGTATATTCACTGTTTTCAATGACGTTTGACTGATTCATTTTAAGAGAATGAAGGAATCAATATATACTAATATTTCTTGCTCAAAAAATACAGAACATAATACGCAAATCGATTTACTCTTACCAATACAGATTCGTGGTCCTTCCCCAAAAGCTAAGTAAGCGTAAGGATGTCTCTTCGCCACTTGGTCTACATTGAAACGTTCTGGATCGAATTTGTCCGGATCTGGATATATTGACGGATCTCGATGCACTCCGAGTACTGGTATAGTAATCATGGTCCCTTCCGGTATGAGAACGTTTGTCGTTGGAAGAACTACGTCCTTGGTGCAGACGCGATTCAAGATAGGTAGAGGCGGATATTTCCGTAGAGTCTCTGAAGCAGAAAGAAGCAGAAAGATACATTTTATTGTATGTAATCGGTTATCATTGCGCGAAGTTTGCAGTTTCCTTGCGAATCAA